AAAATATGCGTTCGCCCGGTTCATTTACATTGCTTTAATTTCGTAATATAAAAGCAAATAGAGATGCTAGAAAATGTTACAGTGTATTTTGATGCTTGAGACAAAAACTGAACTATTTTACAAATCACTAAAAGTTAATTACTTCAAAATACTGGAAAAAAGTATAAAGAGGTTTAAATTTCATCCAAGTACAGGAAAAATTACTATACGTCAATAACCCCAATTGCTTGCAAATGATTTTTGAAACAGTTAATTTTGCGTCACAGGAATCGATTTAAATTTTTGTATAGCTTGAAGGAGTATTTATAACATGCAATTATTTGAAGTCAATATTTGCTTTGTTTTGAGTTTCCATAATAAGCAAAAATCCACGCACTGAAATGAAATATTATCTTCACAGTATACCAGCAATACTGAGAGATTTTTTTAATATATTTAGAGACTGATGCTCGTTTTATATTAATATTGTTTTCGAGATAAACTCATGAAAATTATAATCGTTTTTTCTCTCCCTCTCTTTTTGCTTCCTTTTTTCAGTAAGTTAGCACTCACGCACATAATGTAGATAATGGGCTTTTTAAAATTTTTTCGTAGCTTACAATGAAAAAAGAATGCAACTAGATATCGTTGACAAAATATTCCAAGAGAAAGTGCTACCAATAACGCTTTTTTGAACTTGTACTTAGATCGATGAACGATATTTTTTGGAGCTCGTTAAAATTTTTATTGTTATTGAAATATGAATACATTATTTTTTGAATTTGAATATCATTGATGATTGAAACATTTTTGATTATGTATGAAAATCTATCGTGCGAAGAAATACGTATAATTTATTTTATTAACTAATTGATTATTGTAATAAATTTACTGAATTAGTCTTTAGGATTTTCCCCAATAATTGTGCATTTTCATTTATATACTAACCTAGTGGAGTGGAAAAAATATGTATCTGATGATTCATTTTTCATGTCTTAATTTTTTCATGACAATGTAAAAATTGATTTATCATTAACTTTGTATCCGTTTTGCAGCAAACTCTTTTAATATTCATTCAATCTCATAAATTCGAAACATTCAATGAATGTAATATTCTAGATCGAAAATATAGAGGCATCAATAATTATCTAAGATCCATGCAATTTTTTCGTTTTTTTTTTTTTATAATTATCATAAAATCAAAGCCAAACGAATGAGACAACCACAGGCAATTAGTTTGGCGAGTGATCACTGATTATACACCTGCGAATGCGAATGCCATTTTCTCTGTCGACCGCTAATGGCTATTAAGAATCATTATTATTCCAACTACACATGACACATTCAGAAGTTGAATTAATTTACTACTAATGAACGGATTGTTTTAAATAAAGAAAGGAGTATGTAGATTAATTATGATTAGCGCGAAAGATTATTAGTTATGTATAGTGCAAATTAACTTTGCACTTGCCTTCGACTAACTAAATTCTTGTAAAAACATAAAATAATATGAAAATTGATCTGTAACGTATATGAGTATGAAATTTTTTAAGGTTCAAGAACGCCTCTTGCCGACTAAAAAGGACCCAGGATGGCAATGATATATCTATAATATTATGATACATCTAGAATATTACATTCATTGAATGTTTCGAATTTATGAGATTTAATAAATGATAAGAGTTTGATACAAAACGAAAAAGAAGTTAACGATAAATCAATTTTTACATTGTCATGAAAAAATTAATCAGATATATCGCGGGTTCTGTACGTCTACTCCGAATGTTTCATTGAAAAGTGTCCAAATGAATGGTTGCTCTTGAGTACAGCGCATGACTTTGCGATCATTGAGACGTGAGTGCAAGAAAGCTCCTTTCGTAATTCGAGCAGAGTTTTCACTTGATGCAGGGCTAGAGAAGTACTAGTATAAATATATTTACCATATAGGTACTCATTTACAAGATGGCCCGAGCCAAAGCCGAGCAAAGCAGCTTGGTTCTCTGCTTAGAAATTATTCTAGCTTTTCGAAATATTAATGAAATTTTCCTACTGCAGTTGGTTTCAAAATTCGCTTTTGAAACTATCGCAGAGTCTTCTTAAAGCAAGCAAAATTCGACATGCTCTGATTATGAAGTAAAATACGCCTTTCATAATTCCAAACATAAAAAATTCCTCCCCTTATCTTCTTAGGCACAACTTATCTAAAGATGTTTATACTCTGTCCATGAATCGAACTTCAAAGTTACGTTTGCTTGAAAACGTTTCGGTTTATCATTGTCAGAAAAAAAAACAAAACACGAGTAAGAGCATTTATTCATCATAATATTTAAGGGGTTGAAACATTGATACGGCTCAAGGCAGTAAAATCAGTCGTTTGTAAACGAATCGATAAAGAATGCAACTTTTGGCTTGCGAAATCGAATTTCCCAAGCACAAAGACGAATGCTCGGCATATTGCGCGTAGAATGTTTTGGAAAAAGTTTCGCTCGACGCTTGAAGTTCATCAAACATTTCTTACTAACCTTATCTAGCCTTCGGTACATCGAGCGGTGTAAGTTATTACGGAAAAATGTTAGTTTATGCGTCGTGGAAAACTTGGCTTTCATTCGGTACGGCAATGTTAATTCATCATCGCGAAGTCAAGTCCGACACGCTAAAGGACGCATGAAAACTTCATCAGAGAGAATTTCAATTACCTCGGCTGCTTTTGCTCGTAGGTGATCACGACGCTGCATGTGTAATACATAAGCTCAACTTTGAAAATTTCATCTTACGAAGCAATGTTTTTTTTGCTTTCCCTCGTTCGCTCTTTATCCTTACACCGCCTCGTACATTATGCAGAATTTCGTGATCAAAGAAAATAACACAGCTTTTTTGTCACGTAAACTACTGATTAAAAGCTCTAAATATTTCAAAAGCTTCCATCCTATCTAATCCTTTTTTTATTGTTGCTAATAAATCGAAAATCGAACGAGTACCAACTGCGCAGATGTAATTTGCTTAACTCACTGAAAGTATGGATTTATCGCATGTTCAAAGCTTTAAATTATTCATTAGATATATCAGCGAAGATAATAGATTAAATTTAATCGCTACAGCCATTTACTGATCACGAAATACTGTATTGTGTACTTTTTGCTCTTGTCACCGACGCAGCGATTGAGCCAACGTTTTGTACTAGCTCTCAATCTCAAGCAGAAGTTTCATTTTTCAGGGTAAAAAATTCTCGACGGCAACTTTCATATTTATCGATCATCATATTGTGATATTTTCCAAGTATAGCGACCCTGTCTATTCGGCGTATAGGAATATTTTTATCGTATTTTTCAAGACAGATTCCGCCGATAAAATATGTATGTCATAAGGACGTGTGGTGCATTTCTGAAACGAGCATATTTTTGGATTATATCTTGTGTACATTCTTTGTAACGCGCTTAATCCATAAATTATTAATACAATTTTCTTTTCGACATTATTTTGTTCACCTAGAATTACAACGTTTTTCGCTTTGTAAAAAAAGATAATTTGAAAATACTTCTTTTACTTGAATTTCCGTAAGGAAATGTTATAAGATAAAGAAGCAGTGCGGTGAAAATCTTTAAATTTATATAACTTTCTTTTCCCATCTCGAATGAATAATTTTTGTCTGTGATGATTCTTAAATTACGAGAGTAGTCTCTAGAACTTTTATATGAAATAAAAGCAGGTGGTCAAAGTTATCTGCATATATACATTTACAGGCTACTTTCGTATACGGGCATATGATAATATAAAGCCTCGGAGGACTCGAATACGTCTTGCGAATCTCTATCTCGGTTTTGATTTCAAATCAGAAACCTTAGATCATTTTTATATAGAAATAATGAGCTCCTGAAAACCCCAGTTCCCTAAGGATTATGGTTTTTTTTGGGTACTAAACAGACACTCTCAAAATATGACTTAGGAGTTTTAAGTGATTGTAAAATTTAAAAATATTCAAGTGACTTTAATTTATTTCATAAAAAAATTGTACAACATTGAATACGTACATTCAAGTATAACTATTTTACATAAGTTGTATTCGTATATATTTTTATAAAGTTTATTCGAGTATTGTTGAAAACTTTTTAGGAAAGTTTTTTCAACTAAAAAACGCGAGGACCTACTTTTGCCGTTACGCAAGTTCACCCTTTTGCACTGACATATTGTTTGCGGTTGTAGATTCACACGTAGAAACAAAAACCACATGTATGAGCCTTTGAATTACTTTTCATTCTCTAGGCAATTTTTCGACTTTTTTCGCTAACAAAAGGCTCAATTTGAAGACTCCAAAGAAATTTCAAGATGCACATAGAAAATTATGAATTTTATCGTATTTAAAAAAAAACTATTAAATATTACTTAAAAATCTGTTGTTTTTGTTGACAAACAATTCTTTGAATAGTTAAATGTCATATATTTGCACGGTTTTTGGTAAATGGATATTTAAAAATATGTATAATTAGAGGCAAATTACGAACAAAAAACTATTCAAGATGTCATTTATGTCACGTTGTCGTACAGAACGAAAATAGCCAAGTTTTTGTCCTATTAATTCATCGCTTTAGAATTACAGACTTCCGTGTACGTAGGAGCAAAAGCGTATTTACTTTATTCGAATTGGCATGAAACATGATTTTAATAGCTCAGTCGATGGATTGATAGTATTTTCAGGGAAGATTGTATTATTTCAGTCGATGGGAAAACAAATTTGCGATTGTTTACCTTTTATTACCGGTAAAGAACATAATACGTTTTTGTACCTCGATGCATTCTCTAACATAACTAAACTACGTCGATAGAGTTCGACATTACATACAAATTAGCGATTCGTGTTTGCAATTCATTCGAGCAAACGAACGCTTCAATGAATCATATACACACTTCCCTATTACATACACGAAAGCTCGTGCAAAAAAAGAGAGAATTCGAAGCATGACCTTAAACGTAGAAATTTTTTTTTCATTCGCTTTGTGTAATAAAATCATCGTCATATCTCTAACCTGAGAGTCCAGGGCAGCACCTTGCTGCCCTCGAAGCTGATGCTGCGTAGCTCGTACTTGGACCTGAGCCTGATGGGCGAGCTCTGATTGCCGTGCATGAAACTGCGCAGCGACTTGGTGCTCGGTCCGCCGCCCGGGGAGGCGTAGCGGCGAGCCGCAGCCTGACTCGACGGCGTCGAGATGCCGCCCTCCCTGTACGATTGCCTCTTCAACGAGCTCATGATTATGACACGAGTGTTTTCAGGAAGTGTCGTGGCGGCCGCTCAAGAGCATCATCGTCGTCGTACCCGTCTCGAGTGGTGAGAGCGATTCAAGGTCACGAATGCATCACGGCGGCGGTGGTGGCGGGCTCTTTTCGAGCGATTTTCTGCAATCGAAAGGAGAGATAATGGTTTATATAGGCCTGTAAATGCGGTGAATCGAAGCGCGAAACAATACAGACTACTTTTGGAAATTTACCACGCGAGTTCGGAGCAATAAAAGACGACAATTTCGTCGAAAATCGAGGGCAAAATCGTATCCAAACTTATAATGTACATCGCGCGAATAACCTGCTGTAACTGACGCAAATGAAACAGTCCGTACGAGTGCACATTTATTAACGGGGGAAAGTTTATTCAAAGTTTTCGCGTTTCCACCGAGCAGCAGCAGAATAATATCCGTGTATAGTATAAGTAATATTCTAGACTGGGAGCGCGTAAAATTTCTCCGCAAAACTTGCGGTATCAATTCGATGGCAAGATAACGTGTGCGCCACGGCGATGATGTATTTTATAATACACATAACAGTCGTACTCTTATATTTATATATTTGAGGTCTCTTCAAAGGGGGGAGGGATTATCGGTATGCGCGCGTGCATCCGTCGACGCGCTTTTTTTCTCATTAGAACAGTCGTGAATACATCAATTGATAAAACTGGAATTTTTTTACACGGGACTCGAGGGATGGAAAAATTTCACAGGGATGAATAAATTTCTCCAATCGCGCGCGGATCGATGGCAGTTACATTTAAAAGTATCATTTAGCCTTGATGGATGCTCGACCGAGTGCATTTCTTTTCTTTCTCTTATTTTTATAGACTTGACCGAGAGCGAAACACACGCACACACACACACAGCACAAAAGTAAACAAAACAATCACTCACCAGTATCGATACGTCAAGACAGCTGCAGCTCGTTCGCAACGAGCGCTAGAAGCGTAAAATCCATTTTTCATCCCGAAGACACCACTGCACTGCAACACACGGGCACACTTAGAAACATCGAATCTTATTCTTCGGCACTCATTTTCTGGGAAAAACTGCACAAATTCGTAAATTCACGGCACACGACGCAACGATCGCGTACGGTTCCATTTCGACGTTAAAAATCAAGATCATGACATCGTCACGTATATAGGCACACCAATCACGACACTTGGCACGACTCAACACGTTTCCTTATTATCTCCACCAACGAGAGATGACAACGGGGCGGGGGTTCGTGTGCTTCTTCTTGCGAACTGTGCGAGCACATCCGGCGGCGCGGCGAGAGTATATAAGTATAAGAGAAAAAGTCAAGGTCACTTGGTGTGCAGACAGGTAGCTGTAGCTGCTCGCAGTAGTACGAACCGACGTCTCTGCACGAGCATAATATCAATGTGCATCTTTCAAAAGGCGCTGCTGCTGGCACTGACACACACACACTGACGATTATGATGATGAGGGAGGATTCAAACCTGTACCGTGCTGACCTTGACGAACTCGCGCTTCATTTTTTTCTCTCCCTTTCATGTACGTATACACGTATGCCTTTTCTTTCTTGTGTGTGCCACTTTATTTTTTCGAGATTTCTCGATTGATTGCGCTGCTTTGCCACTGCTTTATTTACACTCTGCACTGCTCAAAAACTTTGAATCGCGGCTGGGTCACTATATTACATTTACAAAACAAAACGATATACAGAATATTGGCTACTCCGTGTACTTCACTTTTTAATGCACACATTGCACATATTACTAAACGGCCTCGCAGCAGCAGTAGCGCGTAGCAGCCACGCGTGTTCCTGAACGAACGCTCGGACGATCAGTAGTGTGTGCAGCAGCAGCAACAGCACAGCAGCACAGTGGCGCGCGAGGTATGTAATAAAGCCAGGCTAGCTAAAAGAGTGAGTGAGAGAGAGAGAAATTCGCAAGCGTGTGCAGCAGCAGCAGCAGCGGAGAGGACTACTATACACACATATACCCGGCTCGGGGTTGTACACTACTATACTATGTGTGCTATATACTGTACAGCCGGTTTTCTACGCGCGCGCACTTGAGCTCTACCCGACTCTCGCAGCAGTGGTAGCGGCGGTTAGCCGCCCCAGCCTCCCTCTCGCCTTTCTCCCTACCTCCTCGTCTGCATATATACGCACGCATACACACGCGCGCGCGTATCGCTCGAGAGAGAGCTTAATGTTTCGCGCGTGTACAGCCTAGTGACTGCGATGATATATACCTATATATATAGTTACATTGTGCTTTTTAGGATGATGATGACGAAGCTCGGCGCGATTTGACACAACGATAATTCACAGGCGAAAAATCCAAGACGTTTCCTTGTCAACTTGACTTTGATCCGCGTGATATAGATTATATATACGAGAAAGGAGAGGGAGGGTGATTTTCCCGCCCAAATATTAACAGCGTCGCATCGCGACGCGACACTATTATTAGTCTGCTTTGTCGTTGTAAGGAGCTACTACTCTGTTAAACTTGAGGTTTTCTCCTTTCGGTTCCAGCGATCAATTGTGGTATAATACGGATGAATATCAAGGAGCCATTATGCAGTTTATCGAGTTATCCGCGCGCGATATCGTCGTTACTTATAATAGATATAAACTCGTTGCGGTGTGACAGCTGTGTTACACGATGCAATACGAAGACGATGAGAAGATTAATATACTTTGTATTATTCAGCCTTCATAGGTACGACGATACACATTTTTTGTTTTTTTCTTTTTCACGTTCTGCATAGATATAAGCCAGAGAGAGAGAGCGACTGACGAGCTTTATAGCATTTGGGTCGACGTACATGTACACAGGGTAGTGGCGTGTGTACATGTGTAATATACAGTGGAGTAACGAGACTCGGTCTTGTTGTATTGGGTTTGTTTGATGTCGACGATGATGGGTATACACAATATTACAGGCGTGTCGAGGCTTTCTCTCTCTCTCTCTCTCTTACTCGATCGACGCTGCGAGACAGACGCGCGCGATCGAATGCATGCATCCGTTGGATACGGCTGCTGCTTCGAAAATTCACTGGAGCGCACACACGGCACACACACACACGTGAGTATCATAGTTTATATATTATATCGAACGTTGTGTGTATAGGTTGTATATCGTCGAGAGTATACTGGTATGCTTATTTACCTCCTCTCGTGCAAGGGCAAAAAACGTGTTTGTACTACTGACGCGTACATACCTATATATATGTGGAAAGCGACACAGGAAAAAAAAGGAATGTCGTTTTCATTCGCGCGGCAGATCGAACAATTAGGTTATATGAAATTTTTACCCCCCGAAAGAATCCACACGAATAATTGCTCGGGCTATTTGCTACAGCTTCCTCGTGTAACAAGAGCGCAGCGCGATAAAAAAAAGTTTTTCATCCCGGACATTTATTTCCCCGTCGTACTACTCTACTCTGCAGCTCCAGGGTGACTTCCTCGAGAGAGATGGAGCTCGTAAGAAGAGAAGAAGATCTTTTTTTATGATTCAATGAACTTTTTCTTCGCAATGAACGTACCTTTTCTCCTTTTTACAGCAGTGATATACTTCGCGCCCTTTATCTATATAGCTAGAGCTTCTTCTTCTTGTGCTGATGTCCGCGCGATTCATCAGCCTGAGTGAGAGCTCCGCAGCAATTAGCCAATTTTCCCGCTCGCGGCTTCGCGCTTGCATATATAAACGAACCGAAACTTTTTATTTAATTCCTCTTCACCAGCGGCTGTGTAGGTGTCCAACTATTGATTTATCCGCTGCTCGCGAGAATCGAATTTAACACGGTCGAGCATCGCAACGCTCTGCATGCAACACGGATTATAGTACCGTAGGCGCTCTTTTGATCGCTCTGGACTATGCTTTTGATCACACACAACTCGAGCGAGCAATTATTCACGACGCGACGCGTCCCTCCGAGAAGGATTGTATATAAACGAGCGCCGCTGCACTTTGTGTGTATCTCTCTGAAACGGTCTAGGGCTCTTTACGACGATAAGAAAAAAAAAAGAAGTAAGATAAAAGTGCGTGGCAGGAAGATGAGGAAAAGGACAAAACGGGTGCAAGATGGTATAAGAGCTGTACAAAGAGAGCCGCACGCTCGGCGAGTGAGAAAAAGCTCCTTTTATTTTCTCCTCTTTGGAAGAAGAATTTTGTAAGGAAACTTTTAGTTCTAGCCAGCGCGCGTGGAGGGCAGAAAAAAAATTAATCAGCGCGCAGCAACATCGCCAGACCGAATTTTTCTTTCCTTAAAAGCGAGAATATCACGCGCGCGCGCCCGCCGCTTTTGTCGCATTTTCAGCTCTCTCTCGCTCTCCGGTACGAGTTAAAGTGCTTTCGCGCATAATTCAGTCTTACGAGTCCGAACGCGCGACGTCCAATTCGGTGTGAAAATATTTTTTTTAAATTAAATTGAAATTTTCCAAGCTCGAACGCTCGTTTATTCGTTGAATATTAATAGCCGTCACAATATCGGTACGTGTCCGTGTCCGTGTTATATAGTATTATATAGATATCGTGACGTCAATCACGCCATGAGACACATGCCCTTGGAACAATAGAGACAGCTCAGCTGCTGTGTATAACGCGTGCGGGCAAGTGTTTGCTTTGTACGGACTTGCCAGCGTAGCTAGAGCGACGCTTCATTTCCGTCCTTATCGATACGTCGGCGCTCTACTCCGGGCTCTCTCCTATTCATCGACCGTCTCGCGAATTAGCATAGAGGCTCGGTATTATATCAAAGTTTTTGAATTTCTTACAGTTGAATATATATATTGTCAAGATGTATTGTTACTTTGTTTCGTAATCGATATGCCGCCGAACTTTTGCCTACGTCCAGTGAAAATCTCAATGCCGATTGGTTATAATCGGATTATCAACATATAGGTATCATTAATTAAATCAGTCATTTTCAGACATTCTAATCATCTTAATTTTTCAGGAAGGTGCTTTAACTTATATACAATTATATTTACTTTACCACTTGCAGATTTGCATGTTCAGGTACGTCGCCATCTAGCGGTAAAGGTTAATTCTGATTAAATTTTCATACGTTTTAGAAACAATTGGAGTCACCTATTCAAAAATTGAAAACACACCAGTGAATGAAACTTTATTAAACATTAATATAATTTAATTATACTGAACTAATTCATCGGTAGTGAAATTTTATAATATAATTGAGCATTAATACTAAATATTTCAATAGTTTTTAACAATTTTCTAAATATTTTATCATAAATTATAATGGTTTCATTTACTGGTAAAAATGTTTCATTCACTGGTGTACGTTTCCCTTATATATTATTCTATTAATGAAAGTTGAAAGTAAAAATTCTGCAAAAATTCTATTTAGTAGAGAAAGACTTTTACTATTATAATCCATTTGAATAATAGCCTTTAATTTATTCAAAACATTGTATTGAGCTAAATTTATGCAAACTTTTTTGAAAACTTTCATTCACTAGGTAGGTGACTCTAACTCAAACAAAAAATTAGAATTAAAATATTTATTTTCGATTGAAAAGTTTAATTTGTAGTAAAGAAAGAAATCGTTTTCGTTAGTTTTTGACTTAAAAATAATCTATGCAATTGAATTTTCATAAATTTTTTGAATTCATAGTGATAGATATGGATTTCCAACGAAGATTTTTATGTAAAAATACCTTAAATAATATTCAGTGTTAGTTACTTATTTAATGTCTGATGTTACATTATATCCAAGTTTTTTTCAATAGTTTATAGGGAGCATGTATTTCCTCGCACTAGTATCAAATCCAAGTTTTCTCTCCACTCCGAAACTCGACACTCGTCGCTTCAAAGGAAGTCTCTATCCCCTCTATTTAATCTTGATTCGAAAGTGTTAACTAAACTTTCCGAGTGCTGTGTACAGAGCTTTTATTTTGGATCTGCGCGCTGATACATGTTGCAGCTTTCGAGTGAATGGAGCCAAGAACAATGGGTGCGAGCTTCTTCGACGCGCTGTAATCTCCTCTCTTCAAAAAGTCACGCGAGTCGTTTTGCGCCAGGCAGCTTAATCGGGGGAATCGCTATTGGCAATTCGTGAAGTTTTTTTTGCGGATCGAGTGGGACACTTTTAAAGTTGCTTACTTTCATAATTTAGTTTTAAACTTGGATGGAAAGATAATAATTTTTCGGACCAGCGCGTTGGATGTCTAGTTACACGTGAGCACGTCTGACTCGAATCCCAACTTCTCTCGGTTGTAAATCGACTAATTACATCAAAGGGAAACGAAAATGAATCAAGCGAATCGATGCTAGCTACGGCGGCGCTGGTAAATCTTTGTTACATAAACTCTTTATTGTTCGAGCTCTAATACGACTTTTTGCGAATATAATTAAATAGTCAGAATCAGTAAATATATAGTAATTCCAAAAAGTATCACATGCAAGTATTAATGAAAAAACCATTTTTAGCCATCTATTGGCGATTTATCAAATTAAATGACATTACAATTTTTGCCAACCAAATATTACATCAAGACTGCACGATCTCAAATCCAATTCGTATGCAGCGAATTGCCAAAAATAATCCATCCAAGCATTGCGGATCACTCTTCGTCAATACGCGTTCATTATTATCATTTTTTCCCTCGTCTTTTTCTTCTTTTTTGCACGATCGAGTTTAACGATCGAAAATTGTTTCCAATGCGCGACGCTAACGGAGTCCGATGTACAGAGTACACTACGTAAGCCCCCACCCGTGCAACACACGGCGGCAATCAACGAAAGCACCCGCGCGTGTGGCACTTGGCTACTGCGGACTTCCATTAACGTTATAAACTCGCCCGATCGCGAGCAGCGTCGGCGTCGGCGGCGGCGCGTACAGTAGAGCTTTATAAACGCGATAAAATCCATTGCACACACAGGTATATATAAAAAGTAATAGCTATTCTATATTTTTACCACCCCCGCACAGTCGAACGATACGCGGGCACGGATTCCATATAACCGTCCATTTGCGCTTTTTCTCTTTCTCTCGTTCGTGTATCGGCATTACGCAATATGAGCGAGAGACGCGCGTGGCAAATCGCATCCATCGTCGAGCGAGATCGATAAATACGTTTCTTTATTATCCAACCCTTCCCCCCGATGACAATGGAATACTCCCCACACCACCACCACCGCCCTCTAATGCTACTACTTCCTCCTTTTTTTTTTATAATTGCTATATTTAGAAAGAAAAAAGAACGAGAGACGTACGAGATTTAATTCTTCAAAGCATATTATTCGATTTTATTTCACAAAATGAAAGAGTTTCGTACAGAAAACTTAAACATTTATAATACACGAGTATCGTGTATGTTTGTAGCGTCGTAGGTCATAACTTTTTTTATACGCTTACGTCCATTAAAATGTATACGACCCTCGAGAGTCAATATTGCTCATGCGTTAAAAATTATTATTTACTTTCTTCGTTTATTTGCTTTATTTTAATTTTTTGTTTATTTATTTATTTCGACGTGGTCAGTATTTACAGACAGATTGAGGACAGATTAAGAGTAGCACCTTATCATACAATAAAAATAATTTGACAACGAATTCCAAGTACGTATAAACTACAAGTATTTGACCTGTTTCATTGGAGGGAATCGAGACTTTGAATATAACAATTAAAATTAGGAATTTCGTTTGATTGACAATATATAAACACTTTTTCTTCATCTTGCAGATTATAACATCTCACATTTGATGGGAGATGCATCGAATCTCAATTACTATAATATAGTAGGAAAATGAATTATTGCACTGCGATATCAGACATTGATTCACCAGCCTGTCTTTAAACATACGTATATGTATAAATATTATATATTAATAAATTATTATATTCATTGACTGTGAATTGCTTTGTAATCCTAAAATATAATTATTTAATTACATAAAAGCGCTTAAGATTGCAACGTTATGATAATTGATTTTCTTACATTTCTATATGACAATAATCTTAAATATTAGTTTCTTTTTTTTTGTAAATTCACCAAACTCACAAAATATATTCTATCATCGTTGTGAATCGAGAAAATAATTTATCATTAATTCGTTATAAATATTTTTCAAAAAATTTCGAGCGAGGCGCACAGCAGACATACGCACACAATTTCAATCGTAGCGTACTCTCTCTCCTCCATTTAGACCCAGCACCTATTTTAGTGTTTTAATATGTTTTTTTCGTTGAAATACGCTTTACCATAGAGATTCGCTTACACAACTACTATCACTAATGCGTTCGTGGAAAGGTCGATTGTCAAATATTGTCCTAGTCAAAACTCGACTCGGTTCACGAGAGAACGACGGTCGGGAGGGACTATTAACGAGGATGGGTGCGTCAATACACTTTGGGGTGCTGCGTTTCAGAAGTGACACTCCCGTGGCGACTATTTAATTATGCAAAGTACATATTGTTACTTTTGTACAAGCTTTAAAAACTTCTTCTATTATTAATTTTTACATTTTTTCCAACGATCGTTCTCGCAAGATAGTCAATCAACCATTCCAAGTGTTAGGAAGCAGATAGGATTAACAATAATCAATAAGTATATCATACGCTCATTTCAAATCACGCTTCAAAAAAAAGGGAGAAAAAAAACCAACAAAGAGAATGTAAAAAAATAAGAGGCTCTCGAGGACACATCTAGGCGGAGGACGAATGATTGGCAGTTATACACAAAAGGATTATCATGGAGTCTAGGGCGATATTGCGCTACGCAATATTATTCTCCGACGTGTATTGTTTGTATTATCGTGCCAGACTCAACAGTCCCACTCGCTGCAGCAGAGTGTAAAAAATAATAAAAAAATAGTCAGTGAATTATTAGAATAATATATATAGGCTGCGAGTGGCAAGTGTCAAGTCCAGCACACTGCGCGCCGCGCGACCGTAACTCAGGATTTCTTCTCGGAGCGAGGCGCTTGACTATATTAATTTTACCTTCGCGCAAGCCGTGATAATAATTCATATAAAAAGGAAACGCTGAGTTGCGGGGGCGGCGGCGCGTTTTTTACTTTAAATGCACCGAATACCAAAATTTTTTCCTTCAATTTTGCGCATTCGCGTTCGAAATCTATATCCTTAAAGTCTTTTACGACGCTCTCTCCGTAGAGAAAAGAGAGAGGGTCAATTTCGAGAAAAGTTAAACACATTCGTGTGTATATGTGTATGTAGATTCAGAAAAGACACCGGTGCAGAGGCAGTATTAGGTGCGATAGAACGAAAAAAATTGACTCGAGCCGTAAATAATCTCCTTGCTCGGTTTTAACGACTGAGAAACACGACTTGAAGAATGCCGCGCAAGGACGCGCGAAAAATTTTCTTCTCGCTCGCTCGCTCACACACGCACACTCATACACTCGCTGAACACAGACACACACACAAGCGCTGCCCACGTACAAGTCGTCGTAAACATTGTTAATCAAGTACGCGTCGTGCGAAGTTTAATTTACAACCCGGCAGCAACCGGTCGTACATTTCATTCTTTTCTTCCGTTTTTTTTCTTCGTGTCTAATAAACTACGCTCCTATATCTGCATCTCCGGCTCCGAATCGTCCTGGAACCATCTGGCCCTCTGATGCCTGCTCGAAGTAGCAGCAGCGGCAGCTCCAGGCCCAGCAGCGACACCGGACGGACCCGCTGTGTTACTCGACTGGATCTCGCTGTAAGTGGCCACCCTGCGCTGAATCTGTCCACCGTCGGGCGTCGCCTCGGCGGTCGACTCCTGGAACGACGAGACCTCGCGCCTCACCGGCCTCGGTGTGGTCTCCGTGGAGCTGGGCTCGTCCCAGTTGGGCAGATGCTGCGGTGCCTGCACGCCCCAGTGCTCGGTGAACTCCGAGCCGGAGCGCGCCAGGCTGGGCTGACTCAGTGAACGGACTAGTGAGTCGCCCTCGAAGGACGAGAGGCTGGTCTGGTCGTCGCGGTCCATGCGGGCGAAGTCGCGCACCGTCATCTCGGACATGGAGCGCAGATCGGCCTCGCTGCCACCGCGCGTCGTCGAGCTCAGTTTCCTGTTCGCAACGACGTCGTTTGTTATTTTTTGAAATCAAGTAAAAGGAAGTCGTACACCAATTCACTCCTCTTTGGCATTTTTGAGATATAAATAACAGTTTAATGTCAATCTACATTTTCAACGTAAAATTGACATCTTTGAGTCCTAAAAATGTGGAAAAAGTTGCAGAATAGGCCCCTGCGTCTAAAAATAGCTTACTTTTGCTATTTTAGCATTTCGACACTGTGCGCAAGGTTCAGATCAGAGTTTTTGATAGTACACCAATAGATGTGCCAAAAACGAACAATAAGAAAATTTATTGATGTTTTTTAGCGCATATTGAATATTAAAACTGATACAAAGGTCTAAATCAAAATTTCAGAAAACTCAGCCCATAAAGGGTAATTTTCTGAAGATTTCGGACCGTACCAAAAGTTCCTGTCTCATTAAAGTAGTAAAAATAAGCTATTTTTTAGATGCAGAGGTCTATTTTACAACTTTGTCCGCATTTTTTAGGGCTCAAAAAGTCAACTTTATGTTGAAAATGTAGATCGACATTAAACTGTGATATCACGAAAGAGTGAATTGGTGCACGACTTTCCTGAAAATTATATAGTAAGCAGGAGGGCAGCTTACCTTATTCTATTACCGCCCACGTTGACGGTGGTGCTCTGCCTTAGGTGCTCCTGGCCGTCCACGTCGTTCTCGTACTCGTAAAGAGTAGGCAGCGACGATCTCCTCGACCTGTTGTCCCAGTCGCCGCTGGCGCCCTTTCCGCGCTTGTAGCGCTGGCCGCTCTTGCCGTTGGACGAGGACGAGATCGAGGGCGGCCGCTCCGGATAGCTGACGATCCTGATGATGACGTCCCAGGCGTCGGGCGAGAACAGATCGGTGTACCTCACGTCCTTGCGTATCAGCTCGAAGTCCTCCTTGATGAACGCCTCGGTGAGGAGCTTCCTCAGAGTGCTCTCAGTGGTGATGATTTCGCGCCATCTGGTTCTCTCCTCGTCGCTCAGCTCGTTGTGGAATTGAGGTTCGAGCGGTCGCTCCAAGTTGTGCCAGCGCTCGATTATCTCGGTCTCGCTGGTCATCTCGGCCCTGATGGTGAACGTCGGCTGGATGTGCTCGTCGACGATCGGCTCTTCCTGAGGCTTCGAGGCCGTATCGAGGGTAACCGTCAGATTCGACGCCGAACTCACGTCCGAGAAGTTCTCCCACTCAGGTGGCCCCGAGGGTCCGCTCTCCTGCGGATAGTTCCTGATGGTGACGTCCCACTTGGGATTAGGCAACTCTTTCTGCTTGGCGTGGTACTCGGTGATCTGTCGCCGATGGCGCTCGATGTCCTCGATGGTTCGCTTCTCGGTGACGGTTCGCAGGAAGACGTCGTCCACCTCGTGGGTCGTGATCTCGGGTCGTCGGGGAGCGACTACGGGCTCCACCAGAGGCTCCACTCGTTCCCTCGTCTGCTGCTCTCGATACTCCTGAGTTAGAAGATGACTGTCGGTTAGATTGGAGTTGGGGCCGTGATTGGCCGGTGGCGCCAGCATGCTGGCCACTCGGTATTTAGCGTGAGTAGAGTCAGTGACTTCGGTTAGCGATCTCGTGTCCGTCATTTCGGTGTTAAGCGATGTTAGTGATCTCGGCCGATGGAGCAGGCCGTCCTGTATCAGCTCGGTGACGCTCGTCTCGCGCTCGGCCTGCTGCTTCCTCAGTATTCTCGAGTAAACTGGAGGTGTCTGCTGCCTCGAACTGCCTTGAGGCGGCGGCGCATGTAGCTCCGGGGCGTAGGAAAAAGTTGTTAGGCGCGGTATCGTATCATTAGTGGTGGTAGTCGTGGTAGTGGTTATTCGGCTGGACTCCTCGCGCTCGAGTATGGTGGTTAGATTGCGCTCCAGAGCGACGCTCGTCTCGGACTCGGACGGCAGCGGCGAGGGCGGCGGGGGCGCGTGCTTCACCCGCATCTGTACATCGAATTTAGGTTGTTGCTGCTGATGATGATGAAGATTATGATGATGTTGTTGTTGTATTGGTAAGTGATGAGGATTATGATGATGCTGATGGCGAGATTGATGCGAGATTATTCGCGAGGCAGTTACCGCTGTGCTCTCCACCTCGTTGATCGTCTCGGAGTAGAGGGAGCTCGAGGCGCGCTGCTGCTCGACTTCGCGATGCACGAACGCCTTGGTCTCGTACGAGCCCGCGGATGACACGGGCAGGGAGCGCTCCTCGTCCACCTGTGTGTGGGATGCCAGAGAGAGAGAGAGAGACAATTAATTGTTAGGGGCCTTTTTTACGTTTGTATTTTATACAGCATGCTATTAAAGTTTGATCTTTTGTATAATATTTACATGACACTGAAAAAAATCTCAGGGGTAGATTACAGCTACCCGTGAAAAATTTTTCAGTGAGGTCCGTGAATTAAGAATGAAAAAGTTAGACGTGCATAAGATTACGCATTACACTGAATTTTTTGATCGAATTATTATTTGCTAAATCTACTTTTGCGCATATGATTATTTCACGGATGATCTTGGGTGAAGTATCGTGATTGTTATATATCGATTACAAAAATTTCTCGAAATAACTGCGCTTTCGAGAGATCGACACATTCAATATAATTGATTGGAAGTAATTCAACGTTACCCCATCGGTCTGCGTATACATTATAAATCGTCGTACGTAATCCTACGAGACAAACATCATCAGAGAGTAGAGTAAAGTAGAGCATTGAGAGAGAATTTAAAAACAAAATACGAGCGACGACGTAAACAAAAATCGATCAATTACCTCTGAATGGCTCTCGCTCGGGTAATCGCTCGGCAGCGTGTCGGACTGCTCGACGACGAGGTGGGCCTCGCTGCCGTAGGTCTGCTGGGTGCCGATGATCCGCGGTATCTTGAAATCGTCGAACATGGAGATGCGACTCAGCGCCGACGAGCCCGAGATCTTGGTGATCTCCGAGCCGGCGAAGGTCTGCCGATGGATCACCGAGACGGGCCTGCGCTTCAGGCACACGTACGAGCAGCTCAGGCCGGTGAGCAGCAGCGCCATGAACAGCAGCGTGCAGATCAACAGGAGGAGGTGGAAGCCGTTCCATCCCGACGCCGGTGGTGGCCTATACAGTAGGAATCGAAGCAAGTTTGAGCGAGAGTGAGCAAAAGAGAAATAGAGAAATAAGAGAGAGGAAAATGTATGTATACGTATGCGCGAGGGCATTTTAGCTTTGTGTGTAGCAGCGTATAATGTATGTTTTTCTGCCGCCACTGCGGCACAAGAGATCAGCGTTTAACGCGAGAACATTCATGGAGGCAACGAAGGTGTAATTACGTTCGGCTTGATGATTACGTATCTCGTACGTGTATATGTGGAGCATTATAAAGCCGTGCCGAGTTATTTTAAGATTATTAATGGCTTTTTAAACTTGATGAGTACTTATATATATACGTACTGCGTCGAGGTACATAAGGCAGTTTTACTTACTGAATAATTTTACTCGAGTTTCGATAAGGAAAGTACATAGTATACCTGCGTATATTTTACGATTAAAATTGAATTTTCCATACGCAAAATTATAATGCGCCGCTCGCGACCGATTAAAATAATGTCAATAAATATTTCTCGCTCGCTCGTGTGTCGTGATATTTATACACTCACTCGGTGGACTCCCGATGGGCAATCAGGGGACCCGGTTTTTCCGCCCTGGCCGGCGGATAGCGACAGACGATGGTGATGACCTCGTCGCCGTCCATCTCCACCGCGGGATGAAAGCGCACCACGATGTTGTTGGTGAACACTCGGGGCGGATCCTGCACCGTGCCGCAGCCCTTCAGGGGCAACTCGATCCGGGCCGAATTTGCCCCGCGACCCTTGGTGATGCAGGCGCTGAAGCGATCGAAGTTGGCATAGGCCAGGCCGTAGAACGGCTCGGCGAACATGAGATCGACCTGCATGCTGCCCTGTGAGCAGTTCAGGAAGGCCTTGGTGCGGTTGAGATGGATGTTGGGCAGGATCTCGTTGAGATTGGTCACGCTGCCGTTGAGGGTCGTGTAGATGGGCAGGCCGATCTTGTCCACCTGGTCGAGGGTGTTGCCGGCCTCGCGCGACGGAGCATCATCCCCGTCGACGCCGCCGATTTGTTGCTGATGCTGGCTGGCGTCGATGTGCTCGATCGCCCCGGCTTCGGTCGTCGCGAAGCCATGGCTCAACAGCAGCAGAAGCAGCAGTGGTAGTTGTGGTAGTAGTAGCCGCATCGTAATAAGCCTATAAAATAATAAAGACAAAAAATGTTATATCCTGTGTGCGCGCGAAAAACATGCCTGTCGAGCATAAGAAAAATGAAAGAATAATAAAAAATAAAAATATACGAGCGCGATAGGAATTCCTCCGCGCTACTTAAGCTACATTACTACGTATATAACATTGTGCACTTTATCCCGTGTAAAGAGCTTGTGTGCTGTGTCGTGTGTAGAGGATGAAAAAAAGCTCCTGTATATAGTATATGCACACCATGTGTATGTGTGTATAAGAGAGCCCATATATAAAATACGCGGAGAGATAAGATCGCCGATGCAGCGCGCGCAACTTTCAAAGTCCCCCGACGACGATCTCGCTCGACGCCGCCGCGGACTTAAACTATAGCTTTTAGCGCCCGATTTTTCTCGAGAGTCGCGCGTTGCGCGAGGAGGAGGATGTTCGCCGTATAGTCCTGCGCCGCTGCAACGTGGGTATACTCGTGAAATATGATATCGTATGGGGTTTCTCCTCGCTGTATAGTATATAGAGAGGGCTCGAGGAGCGCAAATAATGGCGCATAGATACGCGGGGCTCGTTTCGCCTTGCTTTTATTCGGCGACGGCAACAGGTGAATTGACATCGCGCGCGTAAGAAACGATCGTGGACACGTGCATGGCAGGCACCAAAGTATCTCGTCGTAGCTCGGGGGCTATTGTGATGGTGGTAGTGGCGCGTATAGGCGCGCGGAAAAACGCCGATCTCCGATAAAACAGTCGCGATCTCGCTCTTGTATTATACGACTGACCGAGAGTAAATATATAAACGGAATGGCGACACCTCGACGTCGGACTCGACTTGCATAGCAGCTCTATCACATCTTTCCGAGTTAATGCGATTTCTAAAGTTGTAAACACACTTTATCACCTGAACAGTGGAATGTTTTCTTGACTTGACTATGTTTGACTTATACTGTTATTTTGACTTTGTCACTTGCAGATTTACAAATAGTGGTACTCGCCATCTAGCGGCGAAGACTGGCTTTAATGATGATTGAATTTTCATTCATTTTTTTTAGCAGTTAATGCACGACAATCGACATTAAAACCTTAATTTTCAATCAAAATGTTTAAATTTGTGTAAAGATTTTGATACTTTTTTTTTCATTAAAATAATGTATGTGATTGCATTTTCATGCATTTATTATGTAGTTATGTAAAAATATTACTCGGTATTGATACATTAATTTTAAAGAAGTTTTCATTGATGATGCTTGCATTGTTAAAGACATTATTAACTTCAAAAAGATGTAGATATATTTTTTCCTTTTACAACGAATTTGGCTTCTCCATTTGCACATTTACCGCTAAAGGTACTCGCCATCTAGCGGTAAAGGCTGCTTTTACTTGCACGTCATCCTTAACAAATCATGAATAATGTGTATCATTGCTATTTCATCAAAACCGTTTTTTGACTTGTACAATTATTTCACTTCACCACTTGAAAATTTTAAATCTTTTTTTGTTCATTTTTGCATTAAAAATAATGTAAGCGATTATACGGCAAATAATAAAACGGTATTTGATGCATTAATTTTCAACGAAAATTTCACGTAAACTTACATTGGATAAAACTCATCGTCGATTTCTTCAGTTTTAATATTTACGATTTTACATTGAACCCGCATCAAACTTGAGGTTGATCTTTTCAACAATGCAATATACAAGTATAAAGCTCCTTTTATTACATTGTAATTCAGCAATTACCAATGACTTTCACTCTGTCTTTTTTCTCCATCTTCTTCGCCCGCTCAACTCGTCTTTATATATCAATATCGGATAATTGAATTTCCCTCGACGATACGCGACATCGACGACCCGATAATTACATTATACGGCTAGCGCGAATGTCCAGCCACACGTCCCCGAAAAAAAGCTCCTCTTTCTATCTATATATAACGCCGCCGTCGAGCTCTCACATACTTGCACGCACACCAACACACCGACACACACACAGATATACAAGAGCGTAAAGTTCCTTTTTTTTCGACGTTATGATACGTCAAGGTCGTTCTCTTCATAAGTACACGCGAGCGGCGGGCCTCGCTTCGGTCCATAAGGAGCGTAAAGAGCCACGGAGCGCCGAGAGCCGCATTTGCGCGCGCGCGTCGATTATCCTTTAGCCGCTGTTGCCTGCGTCGTTGTGTTGTGTGTTGATGCTGTATATACATACTCTGCGGCGGCGGCGAGCGTGTGGGCAAGCGCGCGCGCGGCGGACAATGAAGAGTACATAACCCAAGGATCGCTATCTCGAGCTTTTTTTTCCTCTTACTCGCCTGCTTTTTTTTTTTTCTTTTTGTACCGAGGCGGATTCTATAATACTCCCATTTGACTTATCGGCAGACAACTAAGGCTCTCTTTCTTGGGCGGTTTTTTTTCTTGCTCTCTGTACACACATACACGAGGAGCTGCTCTCCGTATAGCACAGACACACACAGTGTGCTCCGAGTCTCTTTCTCTCTCATTCTCTCTCTCTTATGCTCTTATATACGAGGTATATAAGCAAGGATTATCGTGGAATGTAGACATGATTTTTAAAACTCTACTTCTTCAAGTGTGAGAGATGAAAGAGGCTTTCGCGGAGAGGAGAGCGGCAGCAGCAGCAGCTCATGAGAACTTGCGCCAACTCCTCGCTCGTGTGTGTATGTGTAAGTGCACGGACACGGAGAGTCTTCTCTTTCTCTCGAGGAGAAGAAGAAGGTGAGCGATTATTTTTAGAACTTGGTCGTCTTCGGACTTACGGGCTGCTCTTCAGCGGTGTGTAAGGGAAAAAACAAAGACATCTTTTACCCTTTCTCTCTCTTTTCCAAACGATAATACCCATGATTTTATATGCCAACGCAAAAGACGCGGGCGAGCCACGGTTTTATGCATACAGACACACGTATGCTGTGCAGACACGCGTCAATGTTATTTTTAACCATTTTTCTTTCTTCGACAATAAGCCAAAGGATATACGCAAAGACACACACACACACATAAGAGAGCTGTGCGCAGGAGGCAAAGAAGCAACGCATTATTATATACTCGGTAAGAGCGCGAGAAAAAAAAGGCACCGAAGAAATAATAAAAATAAAATAAAAAAAAACCAGCATCGATCTTGACGACCTACACGAGTGAATAAACGTGAATATGTATGCGCGCAACAGCGAGTTTCCAGTTTATATAGCATCATGATCGTGTGCGTGTGTGTGGGTGTCCGACACCGTTTTCCACTATTGGCTCTTTTTCTTCTTTTTTTTTATAACTTCCCGCGCGCGTGCGATTACGTGCGTGTATGTATGTACACATTTATATACACGCGTATACGTACTTTGTGTGCATCGAGAGTGAGAGAGAGAGCTCGGCGCGACAACGCCGACGACACCTTTTGTATACGAATGCGCGTCGAATCGACGGTTTTTTTTAATATACTTGTAAACGCCTCGTGCAAACTCGTTGACACTTCTAGCATGAGATTCCAACTCAATTGCCAGAACTCAGCTTTTCCTCTTTTGATTTCTGACAATATGGGCATGCGCCATCTAGCAGTAACTCCTGTACTAATTGGTGCTTACTTTTGGTGTATATAACGACGAGGGGCTACACAGCGTTTCAGAAGAGTCCTGCAACGCTAAGTTATCTAAAGAATTCAGTTCTTCATCCACCAGAATGAGCATTTTGATACATTTGGCCCGAGGGTAAGCTCACTCGTGCGAGTGTGTCGCACTGAGCTCGTTGACCAATGACTATTTACACGCAGGTCGAGCTTTTTTTTCCTGTTTCGAGCCATGCACCGATCTGTTTAGCTTACTTTTTTAAGAGAATGGCTGAATTGCGTGTACTCGACATGCACGCGCCGCGCGACTCGGTGTGCATAATTACATTATATATTTCAAAATAGAGTCAGGAACAGCGAGGAATTCCTGTCTGCGTTATTTTGCGCAACGGTGACACGGCACAACCGCGAGCACATGGCTCAGACTCACCAGAAAAGTATCATTCGAACCGCATAAAGTCAAAAAAGCTCTCGGTTACTAACTCATCGCGATAATCGTCTTCATCACACATTCGATCTCACGCACAGACCACTTAGCACTCTGTTACAGGTTCGCTCATGTGCGATCGGGCCTCTCGATATTAAAGCAGAGCATATTACGATCGGCTTTCCGAGCAGCAGCTGCAACTCTCCGCTGTTGTTGTTGCGTTGGCTGCGTTTAATACGACTCGCAGTCGACGAACACTGCACTACACTCGCGCGAGGAGAGGAGACCGTTAGGATCGGCGAGCTGCGCGCGATGATCGGTATATAGTATGCGCCGCTCCCTTTACGCATTATAACACACACACATAGCTCGTCTATCTATCTATCTCTATATGTACAAGTGGTAGCTAGCATGCCTATGCTCTCTCTCTCTCTCTCTCTCTGTATACGGTTAATTCGCACCGTAGGGATGTATATAATGCCTTTTCAACGGGGGCCGTTAACTCTCTTTCTCCGTCCGACTTTATATTGTATGTTACGTATAGAAATATATAAATATATGAGCCCGTGCTGGTGAATGGACCGTGGACCAGTAGTATTTAGGTGCGTACGGCACATGCACATACGCATCAGGCATGATTAGATGGTAATTTAATGGATAAAAAGAGAGAGATGCTTTAGTTCGCGGATCGTTAAGCTCGCCTGATTTTTACTTGGCGAGTGAAGCTCGTTACTCTGTGATGCAATATGCATATGCACATTCTAGCTCATTTTTAATTCTTCATCATTGGGGCTCGCTCGAGCGTTGTAATTACGGGCCCGACGTCGCCTTTAGTGGGGCCTCGTATGGTACGCGACTATTATAATGCGCGCGCGTGTGTGTCGATAAAATGTATATATTTATTTATTTGCGTTCAATTAACGCTCGCGCCCAGAATTCATTTGTGTTCCAGGCCATTTGCATCCGCGAATGCTGGCCGTTATAAATGCAAGTATACACGCTATTTTTTTTTCTGCTGCTGCCGAACACTCATCAGCGCGGGCGCAATGCAATTTCGATTGGCGAGTACTGCACACGCGCGCATACACATTATATCGGTTGAAATCGCGCTGCAGTTGCCATACACGCGCGCGCGTGCTTCGTATTGTAATTCGATGCTTTTTTAAAGAGCGAAGCGCAGTACAGCTACAGTATACTTGAATCTCGAGCGAGAGAGGGAGAGAAAAGCTGCACAAGCTGGACGCGCCATGAATATTGAATGTGCGCGCGAGGAAGGCGACGTCGCGCGTACAGTATACAGAGAAAGAGACTTTAATGGATTTAGTTACGGCCGATTTATGAATTCATAATTTTCCCGCCGTCGAGCGACGCGCCTGGATGGCACGTGGAAAATTGCGCGGCAAACTCGCTATAATGTAGATATTGTTTCCCCGGTAGTATTACGCTGCTGCTGTATAGTAGTGGATCGCAATGCGCGTACCCAGCCTTAACGATAATATCGAAAGCAGCGGCGGCAAAAAAAACTAGATCTCGCTCTATATAACGTCCGATGCAGTGCAGCGCAATGCAATGTGGTGATGTAAAAAGTCCTGACGCTCGTGCGTATTTATATATATACGGTACATATAACGCAATGCACGCGTACACACGATCGCGCATGGGAGAATAAAATGTAGGACTCGAGAGCGATACGTGCCCGCTGATAACCATGCTAATGTGTGATATTTGCTCCTCCCTCCCTTGCTGGAATCGCATTATTTTATTGATATGTATAAATATGACATCTGTGTGCATATAAATGTTTTACGCTTGAATGCGAGTAAAATTATGCATATGCGTCAAAGAACTAGTGTCGATGATGAATTGCGCAAAATCATCTCTCTCACTCACGAGAACGGAATTACATTTACACTCGCACACACTTATTCGTCACTTAAAGCAGCGCTAAAAAGATAAATAGTCATTGCGTGATACACTCACGCGTACCACTGGCCGACTGAGCCTGTTATTATTGACGCTGTGTGTAGATCGCACGTGTGTGTGTGTACCACCGGATACCTGTGCTCTGCGCGAGTGTGATTTATTTAAATTTAAACACGAGTATTTCTGGTGTAAAGTGTAACACACGTATGCGTTGTGTGCGGACCATCGCCGAACGTATGTATGAGCTGTCGGCGCGGGGCTTTCGGGCGTTATAATATTACGACGATGATGAAAATTTACTTGCTCAATAATAACGAGGTTCGCGGCGCGTAATGTGCTCGTAGCACTTTACACATACATATATTGATTTTTCACGCGCGTAATTTCGGAGCGCGCGAAAACAGATATTATATTATATAGAGGAAGTCGATTTTGTACACATTTATAAATTCGTGATGTAACCGATCTCTCGATATCGAGGAGCTGTATATATATACTTATGAACGAATATTATATATTCCGAGTGAGCTGCTGCTGCTACTGCTGCCGTGTAATCGCTCAATTAGTCCGTGAGTAAACACGATCGTATGTAGCAGAGAGCGCACTCGTATTATTACGCGAATATTTCCTTTCGCTTGACCCCGCGAAGCAGAGAAGGACGAGTACGTATGGTAGTAGTGCGCGCGGCTTAAAATCGTTACGCGCCGAGGAGGAGGAGGAGGAGGAGGAGGGCGCGCGATCATCCATCAAGTTGCGTGTACACGGCGGCCACCCGCGAGCCCGCGTCATCATCAACATCGAGAAGAAAAAACAACATCGCGTACGAGTTGCATTATGGAAAAAGAAAAACAGGAGGAAAAAAAGGCCACGAGGTTTTGCGCTCGATGAAAATGAAAATGATAGCTATATATACGTATAGCATATAGATAGAAAAACATTGTACCGCGAGATCATCGTACCTTGGTATTAGCCTCTTTGGCGTTTTACACTTGGTCTTCTTGCTTTTTTTTCTTCTTCTTCTTCTTCCGCTGCTCTGCCTGCCCTGCCTGCGCACGCCTGGTTATTAATGAAGCTCGCGGCCTGGCTCGTTCTGCCAGCAGCTACTCTCATGGGGGGTGGGCGAGAGCCTCTCTCTCTCTCTCTTTATTGTTCGCTACTTGGGACGACGCATCGCTGCTGCTGCCTCTCTGCAAAAGTCAATTAACGACATAATGATTAATAAAAAAGAAGCGACTCGAGCATTATTATTAAAATATTAGTTGAATATTATCGCATTATTATAATTTATGATTACTGCGCTCTCGAAAAGCCAACGAGTCTATGCCTACAGCTCGCTGATGTAACGCGTATACGCATTATAATAGAATAATGATATATCCTTCATAGAGAAAAAAAAACCTCGTGGCTTGGCTCGCGCGTTGTATAATACACAACCCAGCGCAGCACCGAAGGAAGTCACGATTCGTCACCGGTGTTAAGGAAGAGGAAGAAGAAGAGGCGCACATAATGAACATTAGGCATAGAGAGAGACTAAACAACTGCACACAGCGCACATACGCATACATAGAGGCAGACAGACAATACAAACTACCATAATATGTGTGCAAGGCTCAGCTCGTCCTTCGCTACTTCCGCCGCGTATAATATGACGCGCGCTCCTTGTTTTATATATTATATATTGTGTATAAGAGAGAGCTTGTACTATTATACAGAATAGATATGTGCGTTTTGAAATATAGCCATTGGAACTATTTAATTAGCCGCGTTACGGGCATTAAAAAGTGCCCTCGAGCTGCCTGCCTAGCTGCTGTTGTCTATTTCTTTTGATATAATAATTGCGCAAAATTTTTCGTTAATTGGCTGCAGCATTATAAGCCACGAGAGAGAAAGAGAACGAGAGCAACGAACGACAGACGGTGGCTCATCATAATCGATGATGACGAATAGTTGGGCATTTTCTCCGAACGGAGCTCGGCAACTCTCTTTTCTATGTACCCACACACTCGCCGATCGTCATTATCATCATTATCATCCCCTGCCGCGCAGAACGATCCGCAAGTGTACTCTATAGTCCGAGAGTCGTGCGATATGTCTCGAGCGTTGTTAGCGCGGGAAATGCCCGGCCGTAGTCACCGTCGCTGCTGCTAAGCTCGCCGCGCAGCGGAGGATACGTTTTCCGTGAATCAGTGGCAATGATCGCGGGAAGTCATTATAGATTATGAGTCGAGGCAGTCTCGTAGCAGTAGGCACAGGATGCGTTGATGAAAGACCTTCGTGATTTTTACCCCGTGCTGCTGCCAGCATAGGCTTGTTGTAAAAGACACGCGGCGCTGTATCTAGACCCATCGGCATTCGACTGAAATATTTTGCTCGAGCCAATAAAGATTTTATTTGCTGCTGCTGCTGCTCCGCGCGCGTTTTGTATGCCTTTTATGTACGTTATACATGTACTACATAAATACATCGCTTCGCAAGAAACTTGCATGCATTAATCAAATGGCGACGATCGATTGACGAAATATATCGATTTTCTCTCGGCGCGCGGCTGGAGATACAATACGCGCCGTACATTCGATACCTAGTGTTAGGGACCATATGCACTGGCTGACTACGACGCGGACTTTGAGAGGGAGAGAGAGAAGGTATCGAATTATTCAAACAATTTGCGACCTTGGCATACGTAAAACCGAGCGCATATACATTTTTCAAAGACAATCGATACGTCGAGCCCCGCGATACTTATATATATACGTGCACTGCACAGCTTTACAGCACACACACACACACATACCTATCCGCACAGAGACAGCCGCGAGAGTAGCGAGCCAACTGGGCGCACTGTCGACGTTATGCTTTGCTGAAATATCTTTATGGCACATACGCGTTGTAAATTTCCACTTTACTCCCGTTCACGTGTACTGTATGTATATGCGCCGAGGAAAAACAACAACAATAACAACCCTTTTAACCTTGGAAAAGTGCGCGATAATAATATGGCGAATATCATTAATCATTGCTTTAAAGCTCTTTGGCTTATGGCTCTGTGTGTGCCTTTTTTTCCTCCTCTCGCTCTCTCTCACTCAACAGCGTGCAAACGTAAAATTGCTGCAGCTGAAATGTATATATGTATAAATCGAAGTATGCGCGCGTTCTTCAACAAAGCTTATATATGTGCGCGGCAAAGGTACCTACACTATCTATGCACTTCTCTTTGAACAAGTGCGTGCGCTCGAAAGAGAGAGAGAGACTTTCATTGGGCCATTACTCATTCGAGACGATCTTCTCTCTCCAGCTCGACCGAACGAAGAAAAGGAATACGAAATTTTGCTCCCTTCTTCAGGGGGAGACGAGCTGCTGAACGTATAAAAATGCCAGAAAAAGAGCTTGATTAAAGCTCGCGAATAACAATTTTCTAATGACCCGCACGGTGAATCTTTCTCCTATCCTCCGGCGAAAAACGCGCGACTTTAGCCGCGCGAATTATACACGCGGAGATACACGTCAGTCCGCGACTAAGCAGGTATTTTAGGCGGCCATTCAATATTTCAATGGGAAAGCACATAATATTTAAGTCTTTAGAGTGTGTTCTTCAAGAGTGCCACTGATTGATGGACTATGAATCAGAAGAGGCACATCGAGGTCGCGCCTATTCATTTGAATGACAATGGGGCCCCAACGAACGACCACACGATGACAGTAAATTAGATTTAATGATTCAGCTCGCGAGAAATTCAAATTCTTTTTTTTTGCATTAATAAGGTATTTGGACAAGTATGTGTTTTGCAGTTTTTCAGGCACGCGTGCCTGCTGTCATATAACGCGGGAGTAAAAATATACGTACGTACGTACGCGCGCGCTGATATTCCATGAAAAAGTTATACAATTGATCGTGCGCGTATGTATAACACACACACACACCGACACAAGGTTAAGCCACTCTCGTCGTGCTGCTGCCGATGACTGTGGGTGCAAATGCTTATTAGCACCGAACGTAGAGCCGAGTTTTGCTGACGCATATTCGTACACGTTACGACGACTAGGCCGCACGCGTATATTTTTCTAGGCAGGTATGAGGAGATGGACGAAAAAAAATCTCACCTGCGATACGAATACGTTCGCTCAAAAAATCAAAGACGTTTGCGAGTCGATAAGCTCATTTTCTCAAAGAGCACGAAATACGATCTTTTTGTACCTCTCCTCCTCCTTCTTCTCCTCCTCCCGATGCCTCAATGCCTTCGTTTTGTCAAGCTTCTTTGACAAAGACGAAGCGCGCGCGTCGAGTGAATATTTTTCCGCAGCTTTTTTTGTTTTATTTTGTTTTTGTCGCAACTCGTCTCCGTATATATTCAGTATCGTATACGTATACGTTTGATCATCTTCTCTCAGCGACGACGACGAGGAAAACAATGCAAAAAGCTATAGGGCTGCTGCTGCCGTTGGAAGGAGCAAAAAAGTAATCTGCGACAACGACGCGCGACCTTGTCTTTCTCTCTCTCGCTCGCTCTTGACTCCTCTATTTATCCCTTTCGCTCGCGGGGCACACTACTACACAACGAGCGAGCGCGAGAGAGAGAGAATTTACGCGAGATTTTGCGATATATATACAAATACCAGAATACGTGTTGTTTTCTGCTGCTCCTTTTTTTGCTCTCTCTCTCTCTCTCTCTCTCGCGAGTGTGTGTGTTTGCTCGCGCGCGCCTTCTGATTTTTTCACTTCTTCTTTTCTTTTCTTTTCTTTTCAAAGACCGAAGGGGAGGATCCGGTTGACGACACGGAGAGCCGCCGAAGAGGCATAGAAGAACGAAGAAGAAGACATCATTTGGGCTCCTCTCGTGAGTGTTGCAGTGTGCCCCCTCGCAGCAGCTCACTCTCGTTTTATCGATCTGCGCGATCGAGATGTCTTTATACACACATACATACGTACATATACATTGTGTCCAAGGTTAATGTGTGTACATTTAGTAGAGACATTTAAATTTGTTGCGTGCCTCTTTTTTTGGTGTGCTGCTGCAGCAACCCAGTGCAAATTAAATCTACGACTATTGATTTATCGGTAGATATGCCGGGGCCCCGTGATTAATGCTAACGAGGCGAACCCCTCATAGTGTGTGTATAATAATATACACAGTAGTAGTAGTAGTACTAGTAGTAGTATACGAGGTAGTACACAACATCGATTATCATGCATACTATATGCACGGGGGTAGAGTAGAGAGGTGAATTACAGTATTTTTTTCAGCTCGCGACAACTATCAATCCACCACCGGCTAACTCTCGATCGGTACATGAGAATTACTTTCGCTCTTTTTTTTTTTTTTTAACTTTAGCGGCCACTGCTGACACATACTTTACACGCACAGCTCGTGTGTGTGTTTGTGTTGCGTGAGTGGCGGAGAGCAGTTGAGATATCGGACTCTGCTATACGCCGCTGCCCATGTAACAAGGCAGCCACACAACACAACACACAGGTGAAAGTAAAAGTGCATCCTCTTCCGAAGGCCGAGTTGTTTGCCAGGCGCAAAGAGAACAACGAAAAAAAAGGCAGCGACGACGCCATGTTAAGAACTTGTTCGAATTCGATTAAATGACCCAGATAACCTCGCGCGATATATAGCGTATTCATCAAAGGCACCAGGAGAGTTACATTATATACACGTATGGCACGTATACTACCATAAAAGCTCCTCGAGGCCTGCGCGCCTTTAAACGAGACTCGATTTCTCGCACGCGCGCAAATAATATTATCAACTTTTGATTGCGCGAAAATAAGTGTACCTGTATGTATATGCCCATGGAAATGAGCGTGACCGTATAAAGTATACTCGATGCACCATCTTCCTCATATTTTCTCGCTCGTGAAAGCGTAGGCGATGATCGTCGTAGGGGTGCACTGCACCGCGGATAATTTTTGTGGCTTTGAGAGCTCGACGCAGAGAGAGATGATTCTCTCGGTTCTTTGAGAATTTCTACGCCTCGCTTTCAAAGCCTAGAAAAAGAATCGTAAGGAGCTGAGAGAGAGGATCTTTGTCGGCGATCTTTGCGTTAATTGCATCGCAGGAATACAGCAGCAAATATGATCGTTCGTTATTTTAATTGACGTTTTTAACGACAGATCGTGAAACAATGTGTATCATGTTTTCTCTCGTGTACCACGTATATGATGGATTTCATGAAAATGATTGAAAGC